TGTCTCTCTCCCTTTGGAACATTCAGACAATAAGGGAATTAAGCAGGAATGACATTAGTTTTGCCTTCTTTCCCCCCACTGTCTCGCACCCTGTAAATCATAGTTGCAGTCAGAATTTTGTAGATTGTGTTGGCTTACATTCATGAGAGCAAGTTTCTCTCATGTTTTCATATTATTATAAAAAATCTAGCTTGAAAAAACAATATATAAATTGAGATTCATTAAGAGAAAATGGATTGGTTTTTGATTTTTACTCCTTGTCCACGAATCCCCTCAAAACATTCTAAGAAACTAATGAATTTTAAAAAATAATAATTATGATATACCACATAGACTTCTAATCTGAAAATGCCGGTAGGAGGAAAGAAAGCAGATTCCACAGATGCCCACTGTCTCAAAGTGAAGACTGCCCAAAGAAAAAGCTATGAAGAATATTGGATAGTTGGTCCCTTTGAAATAGACCACTGGCCCCAAACCCTCAGGCAGCTAGCTTGGCCTCATCTGCTTGGCAATTTCTCATCATAGGGCTAGGCTCAGTGCTGAAGCAGTTAAACTTCAAGTGAAGGATTTTGACAGAACAGGAAGCCCATCAATCCTGAGGTAGATGAAGTTCAATAGAAAAGATTATGGAACAAAACCACCACCAGGTTCAACTTCCTCTTAAAGGCACAATGCATATTGATCAAATATGCATATTCACCAGACTCTTCTCATTTTATAGATAAGCGAAACAGAAATCAGGCCAGTGACTTGCCCAAGGCCACACACCAATCAACCACCACAGAGCTCAGCAACACAAGATTTGCAAGCCTCGGCCAAGAAGTTGACAACATTTTGCAGTTTTGCTTGGAGACTATTAAGTATCAAAAAAGACCACCTGGGGAGCCAAATGCTTGCCCCTAACATCTGAACATACAAAGGACATTCCTGGCGCAGGTTTCCCATCCAGGTGCATCCTTTTCCTCCCCGAGGCAGTGCAGGCCCCGGGCAGGTCTAACAGGGGTGGACACATTCCGGAGACATTTGGCACATCCTTTGAAGCAGCTGGACAGCTTCTCCATATCTGAAAAAGAGGGAAATAAACACAGAACTACAGCAAGACACACATAAAAGAGAAAGGAAAAACCAGTGACTTCAACATTCTACTAAAAGTCTGGTCAAGAGAAATTTAACATGTTTCCAATGAACCTAGTAAGTGTTCAGGAAGTACTGGCTGATAAGTACATTTTCTTGGGGTGAATAAGTTACACTTTATTTCCTATGTTAAAAAAAAATTAAGAGCGGAGGAGTGGCATATGAAATGAATAGCTGCAAAACTAAGCTCTGGCTCTGCAGGATGAGAGGAAATTCAGCCAATTAAAATGGAAAACTAGTTTTGCTGAAAGAGTTAAGAGGGTCTGTAAACTACAGAAATAAAGTGGGAATAACAAGGGCAATCCCAGAAATGCCCAAAGGCAGAGAGTTAACACAGGCCACAGGGCCCTGAGTTCTGAGGATTTCTGAGGAGCCCGAGGAGAAGGACCCTTTACAATGAGCAGTAGATAAAAGAGCCTGGAAGGTGAACTTACAGGAGGAAGAAGGAAAAAGGACCACAGGAAAAGGTGGTACTAGGTAATTACCGGGGTTTCAGTAGTATGCTTCTATAATTGCCAGATGGACTTGAGCAGCAAAAAAGTTCTCAAGTCTACAAAATGCATTCCCCATGAAGAACAGATATTTGATGACGGGCATGTGAACACAGTGCACATAAGACAACTTCACAAATGACATTTAAGACATGAGAGCATAATTCTTTCCTTCCCTCCCCTTCACAGTCTAAGACTTTGGCCTGGCAACCCTTTCCCCAAGGATACAGCACCATTTGGTGGGGAGGAGTAAAGACATGCTTGCCTAAAAAGTATAAAGTAAACCAACTGTATTATTATTATTTTAATTCCATTTCTGCTGATTAAAAGTTACAAATGATCAGTTCCTAAACTATAACATGTCAGTTATCCTGTTTTGTTTACACCTAAAAATATCACAAAATTCAAACTATAGGTTAACATGTGAGGCATAACACATCCCTGATGCCTGTGAAAAGAATCAAGTATTTGCACAAATAAGGGTGGATTTATAAAGAAAACCCCAAACCACAACATTGTACTTGAAAATAAGCATCAGCTTATCTTTGGAATTGAATTCAAATGTCTATATGACTGTGAACAAGTTTAATAAAATGTTTTGCATGTTTCCACTACATATAAAATCTATGTAATACATGTCAATATATCAATTTGGCATCTATAAAAACTCTGAAAATGATTCAAAAGTTTCATTCATTTTGAGAAAGCCATCGACAAAAAAATAATATTCACACTCAGACTACATTTTAAAAAAATGTTTCTTCTTTCAAAGCTTCTTTATTAATCTGAAATCTTCTTGATTATCAAAACCTAAGTCTGATTTTTCTTTTAAAAAACACTAAAGGTCTTTTAATCATATGAATAAAAAAGCAATGGGAAGATGGAGAACTCAGTAGTGCTTTTTTTTCACAAAAACTAATTACAGAAGCATTCTCAAAAGAACACAATGGGATTCATTTTCTTTTAGACTTTTGGACAGCAATGTCATACTTTATTGAAAACAAACCCATGTAAAAACAAAGTTAAAATGAAAAAAAATGGTACCTGAAAAATAAATTATTTTATATAAAACAAATCAATAACTTAAAACACACTAAATATACAAAATGTTTAACCATCTACTGTACAATATGGGAAACAATTGATAAAGCCTCCTGTCCCACAACAGATTACTTTGTAAGCGAAATGTTACATGTTAAAAGAGATGGAACCAATTTTTAAAAAAGACTTCAGGTCAAGATTTAAAGTACAGTACTATTCAAAGTTACTGGTCAAATCACGAATTATCCCAACTTATGTGCTCAAAATGTCAAAAGTTATTTGCTTTTCAATGACCAAGCAAAATATTTAACCATGTCACTGAAGGGTGGCTTGGAAATAAGAAACAATCATTACAAGTCAAAGGAAAATCAAAGTTTTGAGATGGAAACCCCATAGGATTTCAAAGATTCTGGTGGTAGCTCATCTATTCTATCATTATTAAAATGGCTCATGAATTACAAACTCCACTCAACAGAAAAACAAAAAACAAAAAACAAAAAAACAAAAAAACAAACTAAAAAGTTTCCTTCTGTGCTGCCTGTCAATCTTTAGGAAGTATGGTGGCCTGTAGCCTGGAGCTGCCAATAGCAGGGCCACAGGGAACACAGACGCCATATCCTACAAACCACACTGGGCTGGTGAGGTGGGGATGTGGGGGTGGGTGGGTGGTGTATTTCAAAGACCAGAAGAGTTTTATCCAGTACATTGGCATTTGGTTTATGGAAAGGGTATTGGAGGAGAAGGGAAAGATGTCATTGCCATCTTACTCTCACATGAATGCTACAAAAGCATACAGAAACAAAATGATGCTGCATCTGATATGAAACCAAACAACTTGAGTAATGTTCATTTCAACGTCCAAATCTGATAACTGTGCTGAGTCTAAACCAAGCAATTTAAACACAGAACATGCAAATATCCACATCTGCTTAGCTATAAAGCCGACTATACTCGTCTTTGGGTCCTAGGCTTTCCCAGCATCGAAAGCAAGTGCAGATCTACAAACATTAAGTAAGGCACCTGCCTTCAGAATAGGAAAAATCTCATTTTCTGGAAGCAGAGAAGGCTTAACCAGACCCAGTACCAACTTCATAAAAACAATCTAGCTCTACTTTAATAGTGTACTTGTTAGATGATAGAAAAAAAGGACAGATGCCCTTGAGTGGGAAATCAGAATGAAAGAACTTCCTATTAGAGGTAGAATTAGCACACAGAAAACCCTCTCTGGAGAGGACATGGTATTTTACAATGAGGAATCAATTTAAGGCAAAGCTGCAGGGGTAGAATCAACAATGTTAACTTAATCTTTTAAAAAAAATTACCACAACCTAAGTATTGTTTAGCAGATAATTATCAGGAGGTCTAATTGATAAGCAATGGGGAAATCAGAAGCTAAAAGATAACTGAATCAAATCAAAGTATCTCAAATATTTGTAAAATTATGCTTTCTAAATTAATACTGTCTACTCAATTTTTTTCATCAAGTTATTTTAAATAAGGAAGCTTTGGGAAAACAGGAACTTCCAAAAATAAGTAGAGTCTTCATCTTTTTCAACAGGAGTGGAATTAAACGTTTTAAGCAAAGTTTGGGAAAAGGATTCCTTTAGCAATATGACATTTTAAAAATGAGCTCTCCCTTTTAGGAACAAACCTGACAATCTGGTTTGGGCTGAGTTAACCTACTAAATGTTTCCAGCAAAGCAGAGTGGCTAGAGCAACTATCAGGATGGTGGATTGCTTTCCAGAAGTAATGTATCAATGGTTAAACTTTCCACACTCCTGCAAATGTTCCTGAAGAAGCATCTGGGACCTGTGGTGACAAGTGTGTTCAAACCCGTGGGGGCCCCAAGTACCAGAAAAATGTCAGGTGACAGACACATCAAAAGCCCAAATACCTCCATTTTTCCATTAGTTCCAGGGTCTGAAGAATCAGGCTGAATCAAAGGAAAAGAGAATACAGATGTGGCAAAGATGCCATCATCATTTGCAAAGTATACGATTTAGGGTAGAATTCTCTTAAGAAGTCAAGCACTAGCCAAAGCTGGCAGCAAACTGTAAATACAGTAGCTTCAAAGCAAGATTCAGAACCGCAAATCATGTATTCATCCAGAAGACTTAAAAGAAAGGCTTTGAAATGCTGCCATGACCAAAAATGTATTATTTTCTCATAGAACACACTGACTCAAAATATAAAAATTCTCCATGGCAAGACCACAGTGTCTACCTTTCCATTTACTCCAGCAAATAGGCACTGTTTCTAGATCAGAACAGAAGCTACACTTTCCCCGCCCTCCCCCCACCCCCACCCCCATTTAAAACAAAGCAAATGGAGCACAGACCACAAATCCTTGTTATAAAAAGCGGCTACAATCCTTTGGATTTTGTTACTTCTGAGGGTAAGGTGGATCCTGGGCAGTGTCCGGCTAGCTCTCAAGGCCAAGCCTTGGCACCAATCTTTCATCATGTGTAAAAAGTGAAAAAAGAAACCTTTTTAAAAGTCGTGAAGCAAATACAAACAAGTGATAGGGACTCAATATTTTGGAAGGCTAGGTGAATGGAAAGCAGTTATGAGGCCAACTATCCAGATACTTCTGAAAATAATGAACTGCGTTGGGAGAAGGTGATACCTATTGCCTAATTTGTCCTTTTAAAAAAATAAATCAGTAATTCCATTACACCAATAACTAAAAAACATCATCTTTAAATAGTTCCATCTCATGTCATAGTTAAAAATTACTGGTCCTAAATCATCCCATTTTTTTTTCTTTCTCTGTACATTAGTTATATAAAAATCAGATCAGGTTCTTGAAACAGCTTCCCGGGGTTCTCTCTTGCTGCATGCTACCAGCCTATCTGCCTATTGCGGCCTCTTTCTAACTGCCTATCAACATCGGTAGGTTTAGAAAAGAATCATCCTGCGATGATATAGTTTATACCGCCACCACAGACATGTCAAGGCTTTTTTCCTGAGGCCGTTAAACTCTCCTTAAGACCTGACAATTCTCCCTGAATGTTGGACCTGCTGTACAATACCTACCCAAAACAAAAGAAAATTGAAAATAAAAAACAAAACAAAATTTGAGCAAAACAAAATCAAATTTAATGGTCTTAAATGCAAAAGTAAAAACAAACAAAAAACACAAAAAAGCAAAAGAAAATTTAACAGAAACAGAACAACCCAAAATAGTCAAGGCAGCATGAAGAAAACTTTGGGGGTTAATCTTTAAAACTACAAATTAAAGTCTTCTTGTTAATAGATAACTGGCAAGAAATAAGTACTTTTCTGCTGAGTGTTCACATGAAAGCAAATTTTCAAAACAAAACCTAAGATAGAAAAAAAGAATCTAACGCTCACAAGAAGGGATGCGAGAAATACAATGCTCAAATGTTTATGTGTTATTACAAAATAGAGCTATCCTTGTGAATTTAAACTATGTTGAATGATCTTTGAAACTGCAAAGTTCTCTCAAAAGATAATGTACCAGGATGTAGTGCACCAGGCATACGCTATTTGGACAAAAGATTCAGGATGTCAAAGGAGCAACATATGTTCACACTGTTTTGGAGAATAAATTTGACTCTGGAATCTTCTTGGAGTTTCTTTGAAACTCTTTGGTCCATTCCTACTCAAACTTGGGCTTCTGAAAAATCTTTGTACTTTAATTTCGACAGTCTGGCCACGGCTCAGCGTGCAACTTACCTCCCCAATGGTGTTAAAAGTCAGGCAGGCATGCTACTACTTACAAGACCACTTTAAAAAAAACAAAAAAACTGAAAATTAAGTTAACAGAAAAGTGGCAATGAAAACTGCTTCAGAAAGCAATTTACTGTCAACTAAGGCGTCAATCATTTTAAATGCTTAAGCTATTGAGAAAAAGCACACTCAGTGTCAGTCTAACATCTTTAGTTTAACAACTAAGAAGAAAAAGAATTTGTTTTTCCAGTTTGTGGAAACATTAAATGAAACAAATGTTAGACAGTCTTATAAGTTAAAGCATGCTTCAATTTTACCACCATCCAGAGGGGCTGGTTAGTTAATGCAGTCTACTAAGATTTCTGTTTCATATATATTTTAAAGGAAATAACTTAAGAAACTTAAAATTGGTCTAACATTGTGGGATCTCAAACATTTGAACATGTCAGTTGCATCCCAGAGTATAAAAAACCTTTTCATTTCTCATTTAGACTAAGACAAACACGTGAAAATTGGCGCAAAATGAGTTTTACACTAACAAAAAAATGCTTCAACTGGTGTCACTCTGAGTGAGCTATTCCGTACCAAACAGCGGGAGCGAGTTATTTGTGGGCCTTGTTGGTTTTGAAGGAAACCTGCAAGATTTTGTCCCCCAGGCGGTAGCCATTGAGACTTGCTATGGCCATGGCGGCTTCTTCATAGTTTGTCATGGTCACAAAACCAAAACCTTTGCACTTGTTGGTGTTGAAATCGCGAATAACTTTCACATTGGTAACCGCACCAAAGGGGCCAAACATCTGCCAGAGGATTCCCTCATCAGCATCTTGACCAAGGTTGTAGATGAAGATGCACCAGCCAGAAGATGCGTTTCCTGGGACATTTACACCAGAAAGCCCAGTCATGTGATCTACACCCATAGGGGAGAACCTAGCAAATAAAAAGCACAATATTCATGTAAAATTTCAATTCAATCAAATGAATCAACATGGAAGAAAAACAACTGAAGATAGATAACAAAAACTCTCAAACCACCAATGGAGGCAGTTTGTGGGCCCCTTTCCTCACATTCCCTGTTCCCCCAAACAAAAATAAAAGTAACAGCGGTATGTATGACTGCTCAATACTACTGGTGGTGGAGAAGATGGAAACTTAAGGATCATCAGGGCACAATAGCAACTCAAATATTTAAACTAAGAAGTGTCAGGCAATAAGGAGCCATAAGAGATGGTGGAATTGCTGACCCCAGTTATCCAAGGCTAAGATGGAGACACACTGATCACTTTGAAAAGCTAAGTCTGGGGCCATAAAATGATTTCTCCTCCCAAAGTAAGCCATTTTTGCTCTCTCTAGTACTATGCTTCGCCCTAGATTTCTGCATCTTAACTGCTGGAGCTTCTATAATGCCCCTCATGGGTTCCTTGAATCTATCAGATCTCACTATTCTCTAGAAACCCTTTTCTGATACTTAAGGAACTCTCTTAACAGAAAGAAAGAATGCAGAGATTGGTTTACTTTTGCCCCTTTCTCTCTATCATAACTGTTCTTTCCTTTAGATTCTCTAGAAGATCAATGTAAAAAGAGCTCTGGGGCATCTCTGCAGAAAGCACCCCCTCTCCTGAAGGATCTATGGCACCAGCCAGGATAACTGGATAACTTAGCACAGGGCAATCTTCAATGTGCAGAAGTGAGCAAGATGTACCTGCCTGTAAAATAGAACAACAGACCAGGTAATTCAACTGAGGTCTTTATAACCCAAATGACTTATCCCACTGGGACCTGAGGACTAGCAGAACGGCAACATCACTGGATGAGATCCCACACCACCTGTAAATTACCTTTTCCAAAATGACACTTCTACAGATAATTACTTGTAGAAGTACAGATCATAGGATTCATTCTACCCAAAGGATGTCTTACAATTTTAAAAGGTTCAGTCTCTGAAAAAGCTAAAGACTGCTGAAACATGAAATAGAATTGGTGGAAAACCTGAAATATACTCTGAAGATGGCCATCAATTCTACTTGTCTAAATGACGTATAATAAACAAGTGCAAAGACTGGAGTCAGATTATAATGGGAAATAATCCAACATTTATGCTTGTCCAAGTATGGAGCATGCTATACCTTGAAAGGCCATTAAAATATTATTGGGTAATATGAGTGGATAAGACGTAGAGCAATGAAATAAATGTCTTTTAATGATCCAAGGGTCATTATTATCTTTGTGCTACGGATTCCATGCAGTATATTTTTCAAAGAGGTCTATTTTTTAATAGATGGAGAAGATGGCCACCGTTTTAAACTTTGAGACGATAGTTTAGCCCTGAACACTTAAACATTTGAGCTGGTATGATAACCTAGTAGGACTCTCTTTTAAGGAATTCCAAGGCTATCTGGGACAATAATTAGCTAATACCCATAATTATTGGAAAAAGGTGTTCCAAGTACCAGATATACAAACTTTTGCTAAGGTGCTTTTTTTTTTTTAAACTAAAAAACAGGATCCCACATTTCAGAAAAACCTCTGCTCTGTAGAATATTCCCACAAGCCCCTGCTTCTCCACTCAATAAGGGGATAACTCCTAATACAAATAAAATAAAATGGATCCAAAATTGTATATGACTTTTGCTATACTGAAAAAATACCTCTGACCTGCTATTTCAGTTGTATTTTATTTACATTTTTGTGATTTGAAATTCTGGTCAGTGGATTTCCATTTTACCAATCACAGCTGATCTATTTTACCTCAGTAGTCATAAAGAAATGAACTATTTCCCATTTTTTCCTATGTTTAATATGAAGGTTCCGATACATTTCTTACTCATGAAGGCTTTTTCCTGAAGCAATCACCACATTCAATACTCTTTTGTGGGCCTTCTTCTTTTTGTTTTCAAATGTCCTTTAGTAACTAACCCTTTCCTCTTTTATCTCTACTTATTCTTCCCTTTCTCCTTTCCATTCTCACATTTTAGGCTTTTTTGCGATTCTCTCTTTATTAGATACTCTAGCTTTTTGCCTCTCTCTGAAATTTTAGTTCTTCTTCGTTTTCCTTGTTTTCTTTCTATCTCCTTGGATAAAAGTCCCCATTATTCTCATCCCTTCTTTATCTTGTTCTCTAGCTCCGTTACCTGATTGTTTATTAGACTTAGCAGTTAATCTATACTCACCACCAATCAAGAGATGTAACATGACTTAGTTGAAAGAGTACTGCTACCCTTGAAGCCAGAAGTCCTGGGTTTAAATTCTACTTCTGACATTGCTTTGCTATGAGACCATGGACAATACCCACTCATCTATAAAACAGGGATAATAATACATCTAACTATGCTTCCTACATAAGGTGGAGGTGAGGAAAGCACTTTGCAAATCTGAAAAGTGCCAGAGAGTGGGAGCTGCATTATGATTTTCAGAGTATCCAGTTTACTTCTCAATAAGGGGGGGAAAAAAAGAGACCCTTTAATGATTTGCCTTCAAATTAGCAACCATGTAAAAGAGGTCAGATAACTTATTTGCAGCACAGGGTATTAGGAGGTATGGAGTACTAAACTTTCATCAGGCCTTGGAAAACAAATTTCACCTGTGGGATTGAACAAGTCCTTCTGACCTGATTTCTCAAACACAAAGATGAGGATATCTGATGAGAAACGTACTTCTGGTATTTACAGTCATGAAGAAAAATCCTCAGCCCGCTAGGGAGATCAGTCAACATGCCATTTCTGTTTAACAGAAAAAGAGGCTCAGAAAGTTGTGACCCGCCTCAGGGTGGGCAGCAAGGCAGCAGCAGCAAAGCCAACTTTGAAATTCCAGTTCTGCATCCACTCTGTTGTAGTCGAGCAGACAGGGACAGCCTCCTGACATGGGGGACCACTATTATTGGGGCATTTTCAAGCTGGAAAAAACCAAGGTCCCTGCATCTATTATCACGTACATTTGGAAAAAGGGCTTTAGAATAGAGCATATAAAAAAAGACAGGCTTGCCCTAGAGCTGTTGGTCAAATATCTAGACTTTTGTTTGAAATGTTTGTAAAATTGAAGCCCACCCAATGGAGCCTGCTGATTTCCCTGTGGGTGGGCTGCTCCAGCTTATTTTTTGAGTCTCATCTAACTGGAGACTCTGAGTTCAAGCACTTTACAATTCACTCCACGGAGCAGGGATCATGTCCATTTTCTACCCCCTCCCCCTTGATTCCAGCTCAAGAAGACACCGCTATGGAAATCAGCGTTTTCACAAAGATACGTTTTTGATTTGGGGAGAAGGAAGGATTCCAATACACATATTAGTTTTGAACAATTTCATTTTAGCAATAATTCTTATATAACTGATGCACACACCAGGACAAAGCTATTTACAGCTTTAAAAATGCAGCTCTGGTCCTAAATGGAAATGGATTGGGGTAAGAGTGACAGCAGAGACCTGAAGTGAATTAGTCCTCCTGACCCACCTGAATCTTTGTGCCTGATGATGAACTGGCCCTCCAAATCGTCTAGCTGGTGAGTGATACAGCTGAGAGAGCAGCGCCACATTTTTATTCTGGTTAGGGTTGGCTGCAAACTTCACTGTTATGGGTTCGGAAGAACCTGGGGGTTTATGGCCATTGAAACTGGTAATTGCCTCTTCTGCTTCTGATCTTTTGTCAAACCGGATAAATGCAACCCCTCTGGACAAACCTTTTTAACAAATCAATAAAAACGCAGTTAGGGAAAAATGCATGCACTTTTAAAATTGAAAAACAAAAGTCAAATTCTTCCACAACCTAACTCGGATTTATATTGATAATTTGGTAGATGGGATAAATTAACAATAGACCTAAATATAAAAACAAATTAACTCATTTTTCTCAAATCGCCTTAATAATAGAAAACGGAATGTTGTCATTCAGCCTAAATGACTATACTAAAGTCTAGGAAGTACTGTGCCAAATCACATTTTTAGGAAAAATAAATATTCCAAAATACATGACAAAATGTCAATTGAAAAGCAATCTGAAAAAGGATATACTAAGATAGACTTTCTTATTGCTGCCGAGACAAAGCCCACAAGCTACTTTTATGCCTAAAGGCCATCTTACAGCAATTTTAAATTAAAATGTTTAACACAAGTTGGTGCATACTCATAACAATGAACACATGCTCAATCAATACCCAAGTGACAGTAGCTGGGAATTAAAAGAAATGTGTTTATATCTGTAGATATGATTTGTAGATTGCGTAAGTCAAGTCAACAAGGTGTCTCCCTCTCTTCCCTCGTCTCCCCACCCAAAACAAAAAACAAATTACACAAGCAAGGACAATACAGCATTCTGGACAGAAACCCCTTGCTTCTTGTTACTTGAAAAGGGACCTAGAGAGAAGAAGTTTGATGTACACTACCCTGACCTCAAAGGATGCTTTTTTTTTCCTCCCCAGTTTAGGGACCTCAGAAACTAAAACAGATTACTACTACCTTTAGTTAAGCTTTAATTTGGAGCCACTTCCAAATAACAACTTTATTTTCTGCTTTTGAATATAGACTTCCACTAGCCATCACTCTAATACTTCCTATTCACTATGAGAAACAGAGACTATAGTCCCTTAAGAATTAAACATGGAATTTGTTTTCTCTTTGGCTTTTCCTCCTATGTCATCTCCACTAAGATCAAGTCCAGGTGACTTCTGCACCGAAGCTCCCTCCCTCTAGATGAAGAACAGTAGTGCTGGAGAAAACGGACACAAGGCCCACTTGCTCAGCAGAAGTGCCAAGTACACCCCTGCTTACAACAAGGCCAGAGAAAGGTTCCTGCTAACGAAGATAGCTGAGATATTTCAAAGCTACAGTTACTGAACCAAGTCCAACCAAGTCTATTCTGGAAACCAAAATCTATCACTCCTAGTAAGGAATACTAGCAGAACAAGTGAAATTGATAGTCTTCATTGACATCATTCAACACAAAGTTACACCTTACTTATCAGGGCATCACTGGAAAACAACAAATTCTACATTTATGAATTTTCCAGATAACTAAACCTCAATCACTTAAGTTCAAAACTTTTTTCTTATTAATCACCGTTGATGTAAGTCTTGAATCTATCATATAGCTCTGTCTCTTTTTAACAACAAATAACCATTACTTTAAGGAGCAGGGCAGGAGGTGTGCTCCTCTGTTCCCAGTGGCTGTTGTTTAGGCTGCTGAGATGGATCCACAGTTGTTGCCAGGTGTCTGTAGAGCTGCAAGGAGATAGGCTACAACAGAAATGCCCTCAAGGCCAATTGAGGACTAATAAGGCTGTTTGTTGTTCTCCCCCCCACCCCCCACAGCAAATGGTCCAGATTGCTGTATTGAGTTCCCTTACCTTTGTTTTAAAGCCTTTTTAGCTGTCAATTCTCCCTTTCATGCTGCTTTTGTTGTGTGCTTCTGGCATTCTCTATTCCCCTTCCCCCCCCCCCCCCCCCACAGCCCCCATCTCTCACCTGCCATGGGCCAGGAAATTAGATCACCAATCTCATTAGAATTGCCACTGTTGGGGTAACCACAAAAATCAATGCCATCTGTTTGGTCAGTCCTTCAACCCATCTTTACTGTGCCTTACTTTATGCAAATCCATGTGAACATACTAAAGGATGCTACTTTGCCTTAGATTTCTCCAGACTGGTGGTATTCCCAGACCACAACTCCTTGTCTCTAATCTGTCCCTAAAACTAGCCCAATCCACCCTACACTCAATAATCATGAGATTCACACCAGCCCTGTTCCTACAATCAAATAGTTTCTGAAACCTGACCCTCCCTACAGTCTTCCAAGATTGAACAGAAAAGAGTTTTTAGCTTCCCCATGCCTCACCCAGTCAGGACAGGGAATTCAAGGACTCAGTGTCCCTGACTTCTACTCTCATTATGAGTTTACCTTTGACTCCTAAATGACCTTTAAATCACTTAAATGCCTTATAATCCATTCACAGTTTGAGATTTCTACTCAGCCATCTACATTGCCTATATTTGGGTGTCAATGACTGCATGTTCCTAAAGAGTAGGAACTAGATCTAATAATCCTTGACAACACAATCCCAAGCTTAGCACTATGAAATAGCACTATGAAAACAGGTACTTAGGGCTGTCTGATGATGATGATGATGATGATGATGATGATGATGAAAGGACAGAGAAGAGTATTCTAAGTGAGGAAAACAACAAATGTAAAGACAATAAGTTGGGTGTGGAAGAGAGCAAATAGACAAAATTGAGTGAAGAATCCAGGTAAAGGAACAATGTATTTACTGAGAACTGGAGGTAAGGTAAAAGTAAGTGAACAGGATTATTAAAACATAAGACTAGAAAGAAGAGTTTGAATTTGATAGGGAAATCCTACTGGGAATTCTGATGATTCTTAAGTGTAGGGTGGATTGGGGCAGCCTGAGGGACAAATTACAGACCAGAGGTTGTGTTCTGTAGTCTCTCACCAGCCTAGAGAGATCTGGAGGTAGGGGTAGCATCCTTTGATAAGAAGTCAAGGGTATCTTCCTTTTAAAGTATGGCTGATATGGTGGATAGCCTTAAAACACAAATATGCTGAGGACCAAATGGAGCAACCTAAGCAGTTAACTGTGAGCAAAGTAGCCCATAATTCTTGACTGTGCTCCCCCTAGGTATCTGCTCTCTACTCCAATGAGTTTTCCCATCCCTTTGAAACTGAAAAGGCAGCAAAGAATAGTAAGTCTTTTCCAGGGAATAAGTTTGGGTTCAATTTGCTTGACTCTAAATAGTGCTTAATTGGACACTATTTAATTATACTTATAATTTTCTTTTAAACAATCATAACTACCAAAGAAGAAACAGCTTTCTTAGTATTAGGGAATGGACAGGAATGAAAGACTCAGTTTCACCACTAGCACACTACCCTAGTTATTAAGTGCATACATGAAAAGAGTCTACAAACTGTGGGGGAATATTTAATGTCTTTATCCTAACTCCTACTGCTGCCATCCCCTAAAAAGGATTCTAAAAGAGGAACACAAGTCAAGCAAAACAAATTCCTTCACTGGCTGTATACAAAAATACCTGTCTCACACTGCACCTTAAATCTACTGTGTCTCTGTCAGAAGGGTAGAGTATGTTTCATCACTGGTTCTTTGGAATCATGGATAGTCACTTTGTTGATCATAGACCTTACAGCTTTCAGAGCTGTCTTTACAGTATTGTTGCTACTGCATAACTTGTTCTCCTAGTTTTGCTCATTTCATTCTTCATCAGTTTAGAAAGACTTCAAAACTGTTGGTTTTTATAGACAGTAGAGTAAAAATTGCCCTTCTGGATCTTACTTCACTCTGTATCAATTCATACAAGTCTATAATTTGAAATATTTGAATTTAAATAATTTGAAATTTTCTCATTTCTTATAATATAATAGTATTCCATCATATTCATATATCACAATGCTGCTATAAATATTTTTATACCTATAGGCCCTTTTCTTTTGATTTCTTTGATCTCTATTGAGTATAGGTCTATCAGTGGTATAGCTGGGTCAAAGAGCATATGCAGCTTACCAACTTTTTGTGTACAATTCCAAACTGTTTTCCAGAATGGTTGAATGCCACCAGAGGTCCACTAATGGAAGATCAAGGGACCCGCTTTCCCACGGCAACCTTTCCCCCTCAACATACATCATTTTCCTTTTTTGTCATCTGTGCAAATCTGACAAGTATAAGGTAGAATCTCAAAGTGCTTTAATTTGCATTTCTCTAATTGCTAGTGATTTGGAGCATTTTTTCCTAAGATTATTGATAGCCCAGGTTTCTTTCCAGAAGAACTGCCTGTTCATATCCTTAGAGTAGACCAATTATCAATTGGGGAATGGCTCTTCTTCTTATACATTTGAATCAGTTCCATAAATATATATCTCTCTGGGAAGTAAGACCTTTGGCAGAGAAACTTGCTGCATATTTGTAAAGTTGTTTTTCCCTTTTCTCTTTTTTTCAATGGGATTGGGATAAGGGAGAGGTTTCTTTAATTTTTTTTTAAACACAGATGTATGTTGGGGGATGCTACAGATGTGGTACATTCTACAAATGTGCAATGTTACATGCACTTTCAGATGAGGTCACTGCATTATCAGTATTACTTAGTAACAAGAGATCTCTCTCACAGAGTAGAAATAATTTGAAAATGTTCATAATATAAAAACAAAATATGCCAATAAAAATTTATTAAAAAAGGAATGAGACCAAATTTTAAGTAATCCCATGGAAGATTTTTCATATAGCTACTCAAAGAGAACACTCTCTCACCCAGGTACAAATTAGACTTCTTTTGAAACCAAGTCTCAATACATCAAATGGTTACTTTCCCCAGAAAATATTTTCAAACTTCCCTAGCCAGGAGATTAATCTCTCCATAGGATATCAAAAGTACAAAAGAGGGCAGCCACAGTATACTCACCTTTGCTGGAAATTTTTCTCATTAGATTTCTGACTAAGCAGAAGAAAAACTATTTAAATATTCAAAATCATTCATCTCACAAACCAACACCAACTGCATGAAAACTCTTCTAACTTAGAAAACTTTGAAACAACTACAAAGTTAAAGCCAATACCATTAATGTTTCCCAGAAAAAAAATTATTAGAGATTTTTTTTCACCTGTTTGTATGAAGTTTGAAATAACATTACAAATGATTATTGTATTAGGTTTTCTTGAAAATTTGGAAGAGATTTAACTGAAGATGAAAAAAAATTGAAGACAAATTTAGAATTAAAAGTACCAAACAGCATGAACTTGAAAATTACATGTTAAGGACTACATTGTAAAAATCCCCTAAGTTCTGGCTTTTAGGAGTTTTCAAGATAATTTTCCAAAATATAAATCTTTTAATACTAAGAAGCATTTCATTCAAAAGCACAAAAGATAAAACTTTAGTTTCCAACTGAAATATTTTTAAACATCTACTTCCTCCATAATGCGGAATAAACCTTTCCTCCATACATCAGTAGTAAGATTTCTGGCCACTTAGTAGCCTACAGGACATCATCTGAAACAAAGGCCATATCAACAAGGAGCAGGTACCTAGGGGCAACTAGCCAAGCTCAATGTCCCCTCCAACCACAATCTCCTTCAGAGTACAAGAGGCAAAGGTTCAGAAATGACTTATTCTACTCTGCCCTCCACCTCTTAATTTTTTATGCACATGTCTATTTCCTTTAAAAAAGAAATAACTAAAGTGGGGGGAAAATGGGAGAAGGAAGAAGAAACAAAACAAAGAATAGGAGGCATTAATGATGCCTTCTGGTACCACAGCACGGTTTCTATTCATCAGAACTTCCTTCTTACCTTTCTCCCTTTTCCTTCTATTATTCCAATTAAACCTTTTCCCTTCCTACTATCTCTTTGATCCATCCTATAGCCTCTCTTTTTAAAAACGTTAACTCCTAACCCCAAAGACAGAAACGAGAAATGTTTTATCTGTCACCTTGCTAACAACTGCTGTCTTCACTGTCTTTACTCACCTGCAGTAGCAGAGGGGTAAAAAGAGCCTTTTGACTTTTATCATTCTACCAAAACTGCTCTCTTGAAAGTTACCAGTGATCTTTCAGTTGTCTTATCCAATGGGCTTTTCTCCATCCTCATTCTTCTCAACCTCTCTGCTTAGTCTTTTGACACTGTGGATCACTCTCTCCTCCTTGATACTTTCTTATCCCTAGATTTTGAGACACTACTCTCTTCTGGTTCTCCTACCTATCTGACCACTCCTCTGTCTTCTTTGCTCGATCTTCCTCTAGCTCATTCCCTTTAACCATAGGTGTCCCTCAGGGTTCTATCCTAGGCTTTCTTCTATTCTCTCTCTATCTGACTTCACTTGGTGATCTCATGAGCTCCCATAGATTTAATTATCTATGCTGATGATTCTCAAATCTACCTGTTGTGCCCAGTCTCTCTGTTAACATCCAATCTCAAATCTCCACTTGCCTTTCAGACATCTTGAGCTGGATATCCAGCAGACGTATTAAACTTAATATGTCTAAAATGGAACTCATTATCTTTCCCCACTTTCCACTTTCTCTATTACTAGAGAGGGCAACACCATCCTCCCAGTCCCTCAGGCTCACAACCTAGGAGTCATCCTGGACCCCTCACTATTTCTTACCCCTCCTCCCTCCATACCCAATCTTTTGCCAAGGCCTGTCAATTTCACCTTTGCAACATCTCTTCCAATACACCCCCTTTTCTCCTCTGACCCTGATACCATCTTGGTGCAGGCCTTCATCATCTTATGACTGGACTATTGCAAACCCTAATCCCTACTCAATGAACTCCAGTGGCTTCCTATTGCTTCTAGGATCAGATACAAAATGCTCTGTTTGGCATTCAAATCCCTTCATAACTTAGCCCCCTCCTACCTTTCCAGTCTTCTTATACCTTACTCCCCAAACCATACTCTTTGATCCAGTGACACTGGCCTCCTGGCTGTTCTATAAACAAGACCCCCCATCTCTCAGCTCTGGGCATTTTCTCTTGCTGTCCCCCCTACGTGTGCAACACTTCATTCTGAATATTGATCTCCCTAGCTTCCTTGAAGTCCCAACTAAAATCCCATCTTCTACAGGAAGCCTTCCCCAATCCCTCTAAATTCTAGTGCCTTTCTTCTGTTATCTCCTATATACAGTGCACATAGCTTGGCTTGTATATATTTATTTGCATGTTGTCTCCCCCATTACATTGTAAGTTCCTTGAGAGCAGGGACTGTCTTTTGTCTCTTTTTCTATTTCCAGCACTTAACACAGTACTTAACACATAGTAGGTGCTTAATAAATGTTCACTGATTGATTGCATGACAAGTTAACAAGAACTAAGGGAAGAATTTTGAGGTTCTTATAAGAAGACTAAAGTGCAAATGTAATTCTCCAGTCAAGACCTGGTAGTCCAGGAAAAAAATTCTTGATAATACATTCTTAAAAAGGTGTCCAAATCAGTTTGGGGTATATGCCAAATGTATGCTCTGAGACAGATTTCTATTTTGTTCTGGGAAGTAACATGACAACAAAGACTGACCATTTGGCTCCTCAAATGCATTTCCATACCACTTCTCAGTTTTTAGTAAACATCTAAACTCTTTACTTCAAAACATCAACTTAGCAAGGGCTATTTCTCGACTCTGCTGTCTTCTATTCTAGCTCTTTGGTCTAATTATTCCACAAGTTTGTTGCTATCTGCCTTAAAGATTCAACCACTTGACAACTCTCAGGATAGACTGGACAAAAATAATTTTCACTATTTTTATAATATATATGGGGTTTAGTCAACAGAGATAAAAAATATGTTTACTGATAAAGGTATACAAAAATCTCGAGTCAATTCCAGATCATTCCCACTGGAATCATTTGCCAAAAATCTCACTTTCACATTTGCCAGTATCATCTGCTCCCACTGAATTCAGATTCTTTTAGCTATCACAGAGGCACACTGTAATATGCAATCTGGATTACAAATCCCTTATCGACTGATGATTTGAAAGAGACAAATGATTAGGCAGGCAAGTTTGCCAATGGGATTACCTAGCTTTGATTTTTGATTTTCAAAACTTGAATTCTGGAAAATTTTAAATGTCAGATTAAAACAGATGGGTGCTCAATAGAAAAATCCCAGAAGGGCATGGAAAGGCACTCTGACAAAAAGAGGCAGCCATGGAGCTTCTCAATTATGACAGCACTAATTATACACAACAAGAAAAGAGATTCTAAACCTGCTCCTTTTACTGTGAGCTATTTGCTTTCTCCAAAATCAAAGTTATACACACCTCTCCTCACCTCCACATATACTCTTCAATCCGGTCACACTAGCCTCCTGGCTGTTCCTCAAACACTCTTGGCTCTGGGCATTTCCACTGGCTGTCACCCATTGCCTGGAATGCTTTACCTCCTTATCTTTGCCTCTTGACTTCTTTGGCTCCCTTCAAGCCCCAGCTAAAATCCCACTTTCAACAGGAAACCTTTCCCAATCCCCTTTTAAGACTAGTGCCTTCCCACTGCTGATCATTTCCTATTTATACTGTCTATAGAGTGTTTGTGCATAGCTGTTTGCTAGTTGTCTCTCCCATTAGATTGTGAGCACCTCTAGACCAAGTACTGTCTTTTTCTTTTCTCTGTATCCCCAACACTTAGCACAATGCCTCGAACATAATAGTTGTTTAATCAGTGTTTACTGATTTGACTGAAAGCATTAGAATAATGGAGACCCAGTCAAGTAGTTCATCCTCTTTCTAAGCACTTCCAGGATAGATACCGGATGGCCTAGCCCCCCTTTCCTATATGGATTTGACAGGGGAAATTCATGATGTTTCTTCTTGCTTTCAACATTAAATGGCATTATAAAGCCAAGGCTCCCATTCTTTTCACATCCTTCTCCAGCTTCATGTGTTTAAGAAGTCTTAAACTTAGGTACCATCACACCCAATTACTTAACTGCCCACCCCACAAAAGAATTAAGACATTCAAATCACACTGAAATTATCTGTATCTCCCTGAAAAACCTGCTAGCTTCCAGAAAAACCATCAGCCAACACAATCCTTAGCAAGCATTGGTTCTGGTATCTCGTGTTGCCTGGCATACCTGTTGTCTGATCCACAAGTACACGAGAGTTGATGATGCGTCCAAATCTTGAAAACATGTCCTCCACATCTTTCTGTGTCATTGTCCTTGGGAGTCCACTAATATACAAATTGGCATCTTTGATAACTTCTGAGCTTGGCCGAGCATAGGATACCTTTAAAACAAAATTATTCTCTTTTATTATGGCAGATACCTTTATAAATCTTTGAATTAATGAGTACCTGGTAGTAAACTTTCCAGAATTAAATAAAACTGGCAACCTTACACAAGGTTATTTAATTAATAACTGATAAAATCTTCAGGTGTGAAATGATTTGGTTGAGAAATGACCCTGTTAACATTTATCCCCTTAAAAGCACAAAAGCGGGGGCAGCTAGGTGGTGCAGTGGATAGAGTACCGGCCCTGGAGTCAGGAGGACCTGAGTTCAAATCAGGCCTCAGACACATAACACTTACTAGCTGTGCGACCCTGGGCAAGTAACTTAACCCCACTGCCTGGCTAAAAAAAAAAAACCACAAAAGCAATAAAGTGAAGTCCTGTTATTAGGATCTCTGACAACACCTCACAGTCAGACATGTGAGCATTCTGTACAGCTTCCTGAAACATGGCACACACTCACAGGCACAATAAAATACCAGATTTGCTGCTCAATATAGACAGCATGCAGTATACATGTAGCTATTTTATCAGGTAAAATTGTAACCATTTAATATTCCAATCATTTGTGTACAGCAAATGCCACATGTTTTTCAAAGGTTGAGGAAGTGACTAACCATGGAACTTGCTCAGAGGCACTGCCCCCCCTTAGAACGAAAGAGCAGAATATCTCCATCCTGTATTTCTGTGTAAGTCCATGCTCAGGACGGAACCGGGTTGTGAAGAGACAGGAGGGCAAGGAATAAGTCCCTAAGAACAGACAACAGAGGCAAAGGGAATTTGACTTGCCACAATCAGGGGCATTCAAATCCTCCCCTCTTCACCTTCCTTTGGGCCCTCTGCCAGCTGCCTAGACTCAAGTCAGGCCGACCAAACAATGGGGCTTCTTGACTGCTCACACCACTTGGACAGGATGGGAGATGCCAACTATAACTTTGGGTATCATGGAGGGCCATCAGGCCAACTGTCTTAGTTCTAAGCCTTCCAGATCCTTTGGTGCTGTCAGCAGATTGTACTAATGCAACCTAAAGACGCCTGGGCATTGTTATCCGCCTGCTGCTGTACTCTTAGAACTCTGGGGACTTTCTATATACCTTACACCTAAAGTTTCTTTTACATGTTGTCTCTCACAATTAGAATGTGAGCTTCTTGAGGGCTTCTTGTTTTGCTTTTTTAAAAATTTGCATTCCCAGCACTTAGTACAGCATTTAAAAAATCAATTAATTTCCTTCCTTTTTTCTTTCCTTCCACTAGTCAAAAGTAACTTCTGCTGGGGTGAAAGAGCCAGTAGCTAACTTTGCAGGCAGTGTGCATGCACAAATAGCTAAGAATTAGGAAATGAGGAGATGGTTGATGAAAGGTGATCTCCTCTTCAACAAATGTCTGAGCTTTGCTAGTCCCAGGTACCTTCCAGAAAGGTCTACTATGGAGATACAAACAGGCCAGGCACTCCTATTATAATGGCATTTATTTATACACATCACTGCTCATATGCAAAAGCTCAAGCAGGGCAACTAAACTTCATCTCGAAAGTATAATTTGGAGCCCTGTGTCCCAAGTACAGTCAGTTCTCACTTAATATAAAAAGCATACTGTTCCATAGACTTCCCCTCCCCTTGTGGGGCTTCATGTAGTCCCACCCCCTCAACGGATCTGTGTCAAGGATCTCTAGCATGGGTCTGCACCAGCACTGCTATGCAGCTGCCACCACACATCAAACACTGCTGCTGAGACCTGCCAAGAGCTGTTGTCTGAGCTGGAGCAGGTAAAGCAAGAACTGTCTACATGTTATATAAACTCATAAGAGACACTGAGGGTGCCCAAATAAAAGACAATCAGCCTACCTTTAAGTATCTCACAACAGGAGATAACCCAAAGAGACAGAGTACAAAGACCTATAAGTTCAAAGAATGGAAATACCAATTTGTAAAACTTGTAGTTGGAATTAAAAAACTTACCACGAAGTATGAAAATAAATGTTGATGAAGTGTTAAGGCATGACCAAAGGTAAAGGATGGAAAGGCTACCTAAAAGAGGAGAGTTTTAAAAGCACAGTATAGTGAAAGTAGCATTAAACCGGGAGTCAAAAGACCTGAGATCTAATCCTGCTCATATCTTCCCTTTCCTGGGCCTCAGTTTTTCCATATGTAACATAAGGAAGTTGGAAGAAAAGATTTCTAAGATAAAGAGTTGCTTTGACATTCCAGTAACAGGATTCTGAGTTACAAAAAAGGTTATTGACTTTGTAGAGGACAGCAAAAGTAAAGGCATAGAGAGGGGAACTAGCAAATTCTGTATAGAGGCCAACAATCAGGGCTGAGGTAGGAATAATGAGAGATGAGGCTAGGAGGTTATGACAGGACTAATTACAGACCAGAATCTCAGAGCTGAAAAGAGTTCATCTAGTCTAACCTGTACTCTTGACAGGAATCATACTCAACAAACAAAAATCATATGCATTTAGTCTCTATCTGAATAAGCTCTAGTGAGAAGTAAATCATTACCCTCAAAAGCAACCTATGCGATTTTGGGACAGCTGTAATGGCAAGATAATTTTGCTTGGAACAGGAAAGCACTTATTAAGTTTTATTATATGCCAAACATTATGCTAACCTCTGGAAATACAAACAGAAAAATCATGATAGTTACTACTCACATTCTAATGGGGGACACAACATATAAAGAAGGGTTCTTGTTTATGTTCAATTCCTGGAAGATTGGAAAGGCCAGGTGCTACTCTGGCAGGGAAAGTAAAAGGACAGATGGCAAAGCCTAGAGCATTCTGGGGAGTAACTGAAGGGCAGACAGCTGGTCTTCTACCAAGAGGCTAGTGGGTTAGAGTGTTAGAGTGAAGTGGGGCTCTGGGATATCTCCAACAGACATAGGGATCTGGGGCTCAGCACTCAGATGGCAATAGACTTCCTGTGTTCAAGGAAAATGAGGCCAGTGGAACAATGAAGGTTGGTTGGAGAAGGGAAAAGTCCCTGGCTCCTATCAGGTAATTACTGCTCAGTCTATCTTTGGTGGGGAGGGGAAAGAAAGTCCCTACACTTCACTGTGGTGCTGGTGGAGGCAGCTAGTTCTGTGTCATCTTCTTTAAGTCAAAACTTAAATGTGACACATAGAAAACACTTAAAAAATGCATACTGACTAAATGTTTCTTGATGACTTCCACCTACTGCTCATAGTCCTGGCCCTGGGGGCAACCAGAATAAGTCTAATCCCTCTTCATGTGACAGCCCTTGAAATACCTGGACAGGTATCATGTTCTCCTGGGCCTCAAAGTCTTCTCTTCTCATGGGAAAACAATTCCCATTCCTTCAACCAATCCTCATATCACATAAACCTGAGGGCCTTCACTATCACAATAGGTCTTCATTGAACACTCTTCAGCTTATCAGCAATCTTTCCTAAAATGCAGCTTTTAGATTCAACAATATTCCAGATGTGGCCTGATCAGACCAGATGACTTTCACCTTTCTAGTCCTGGACACTGCTTCTCTTATTGAAGGGCAAGAGTATAATAGCTTTCTTTGCTTCCAGATGATACTGCTGACACATACTGAGCTTGCAGAGCACTAAAACCCCCAGACCATTTTCAGATAAACTTCTATCTAGTCATGCTTCCTCCAGCATGGATTTGTGAAGGTGATTTTTTGAACGCAAGTGTTAGCTCTACGTACTAAATTTCATTTCACTAGATTCAGTCCAGTACTCTATAGAGGTCTGTTTGAAATCTGTCACCCCATGTGTTAGTGTTTTCTCTTAATTTTGTGAAATAAGAAAATTGGATAAGCACGCCAACTATGACTTTGAGCAAATCACTGAAAATAATGTTAAGTGGCACAGTTCTTTAAGATACTCTATTAAAGACCTCCTTCTAAACACTTAAGGTGATGCCCTCTTGGGTGTGGTCATTCTACCTGGTACATAACTACCCAAATGTACAATGGTCTATCTTTTCCACAAGAATAGCATGAGACACTTTATCAAATACTTTGCTAAAATGTAAGTAAGCTATATTTGTAACGTTCCCCTAATCTATCCATCTAATAATTTAGTCAAAAAAGGAAATGAGATTAATCTAGGATAATCTGTGCTTGATGGAGCTGTGCTGCCTCTGTGATCATCACTTCCTTTTCTATATATTCACTAAGCATAGGGATAAGAACTAGACTTCTGATTTCATTGGTATAGGAAATTCCCAGGTAAGAAAACTCCCACTATCAAAGCAAGATCAATACCACCTTCTAAGCATTAAAATTATAGTCTTAGAGAATTGCCTGGGGCACAGAAAAGTTAAGTGACCTCTCTTTGGTCAAACATCCAGTATGTGTCAAATGCTGAACTTGAACCCAGGTTGTCTCTGCTTCAAGGCTAGTTCTCTACCTACAACACACTAACCATCCTTTTAACATACTTTCTAGAATTCTGCCATGAATTGTAATGTGCAGACTCTATTATCTTCTCTTTTTTGAAAACAAAGATATTTGCTCTTCTCCTATCCTCCAGTGCCTTCTCAATCCTACCCAGGCTTTCAAAAATCACTGACTCAGTAACCACATCTGCCAGTTCTTTCAAACCAAAGATATAGTTCACCTGGCCTGATGACCTGAACTCATCAAGGACAGCTGCTGCTCTCTCATCATCTCCTTACTTATCCTGGATATCAACTCAATAGTGACCATCTTTATTCTATCCTTTCCAGTCCAAAGATTCTAGGAAGAGAAAATAGTTGAACAGCATTACCTTCTCTCCATAAGTTACTGTTGTCTCATCTATCCCAAGCATTAATCTTATCCATTACTTGATCCTCCCTGATCCTTAATTTTCTTTACTAGATTCAACTCACTATGAGCTTTCCAACTCTTGACATTATTGTTACAGGATGATGCCAAGGATTTGTATTCATCCTCTATTACCTGTCCTTGCTTTTGTCTTCCATACACATTTTTAAAAAATCTAAATTGACTGGTGAGGTTATATACCCACATTGG